AATAGAGAAAAACAATAATTAGTTATTTGTTTCTTGAAATTTTAATCATATTTATCTTTCTTATTTCAGGATCTATTTTCACCAATAGCCAATTATAAAATAACCGGAGAAAATGTGGCAGTTAAACAAGAAATTATACGTTCAAAAATGAAATTAGTTGATCAAACAGCAATTAATGTAAGGACATTCATTTTACTATTGGTGACAAAAATCAAGGCACTCGAATGATTTTTGAATAATGCATAATAATGGCATACGGTTTTCAGCTATTGAAGCCAAATTTCTAAGGCACCTGTTTTTTTGAAAAAAAATGTTCCGAATATCGGTTTTTCAAGGAATCTTTGAAAAGTCACGTTGCATTTCTCAAAATTAACATACGAACTTATCGAGTTTTTGTCGTAGGCATCAATTCTTGAGTATCTTCTACAGAATTAGACTTAAGCAAAAGGTTTCGAAACTCCTAACCTGAGCACAACTGAACTTTTGCTTAGATCTAAAGATCCCCTAAAAAACCGACCTTCAAAACTTTTCTGAAAAGAGTTTTTTGTTATCGATCATTGAAAACCACATACCATTATTCAATAAACATTCAAATGCCTTTTGACTCCTGACGCCATTATACAATTTCTTTTATTTTTTTTTTAGCTTAATAATCGTCTTTATCAATGTCAAAATGATATTATGCCTGGTTCAACAATTGAAACAATGATGAAAACATTTTACAATCCACAATTTTCAAAAGTTGATCTATCTTATTAAAATCATTGTTTTTCTGTTTTTTTTAAATAATTTTCTTTTAGACTCTTGCATATGATCGACAATTAGCAGCAGAAATTCAATTACTTGGTGGTGGTAATGGTGGTGAATTGAATATAACTCAAGAACAATATCGTACAATAATGCGTGAAGCTATTGGTTGTGTTTAATTTCTTATCTTATTCATAATAGATAGTTTTGTTTTCTTTTTTTTCTTTTATTATGTCTTATACGGATGATGGTATTCTTTATATATATATTAATATTTGGTATTTGTGTTTCCACGGCAAGGTGTATTTATATAAACAAAACATAAAAATAAAAATTTCCTGTTGGTTTTATTTCGATTTCTTCTTTTTTTTAGGTTTTGGTGGTTCAGTAAATTTAAGAAAAAAATCTATAAAATAAAAAAAGAAATTGAAAGAAAAAAAATTGAAAATTTTTTTTTTTTTTTTTTGTTATCATTATAATTGAATAAACCTTGTTCATTGATATTAAGATTCTCTTTAAATGTTTTTGATTCAATTTCATTGAGTTGTTCACCAATATTTGTTAAATATTTCATCATTTCATCAACTTCTAATAAACCAGATTTTTCTGTATCAAATACTTAAAAAGCAGGTATAATATCTTTATCAGTTACAGATGTTGGAATATTTAAAAATGCACTAACATATTCAGGAAATTTTAATTGATCAGTATCTTTAAAATAAATATAAAAATAATTTTCTTTTATTAAAACTATTGTTGTTTTTTCTTTTTTCTTTTTGGATCAATTTCTTTTGTTACTCGTTGAATATCACTTTCAAGTGGATTAAAACCAAGTGTACGAAGAATTTTACCAAGTAAACTAGTTTTAATAATACCTTGATTATTTGTATCATATGTATCAAATACTTCTTTCATTGCTAAAAATGAATCAATGAAGGAGTTTTCAAATTCAATTAATTCCCTAATTATAATAAAATTCTTCCAATTGAAGTTCAGACTCTTAGCTTATGACTACTGAAGTATTATACTTTTCCAGTAGGTTTTATATGAATGCTGTAGTCTCTCTCAGGAACATTGATTTTCTAATTTCAATTTGAAAATTTGCATAGAGACAGGACTTATTCAGAATAGGTTTTAGTGAATATTTCAGATCTTATCGTTGTTCCTATTGTACATCACTTATACATACCAATAGATTCAATTTTCTTATTTCAGGATAGAAGCAATTCAAAAGACATGAAACTTTCATAATAATCGACTCTTGTTTGCAGCCTAGGTTATTCGAAAATCAGTGTTCTTGAGAGTGATCATAGCATTCATTTTAAAAATTCCTGCAAAAGTACAGTATCTCGTCAGTACAGACTCAAAAAAACAATTAATTAGTTGGAAGACTTTCCTTGTTAGATTAGACTACAATGAGTTATAGGCACAGTTGAAGTCAACGAAGTTTGTTCATTAATATAAATATAATTTTTTTGTTTCGGTTGCGACAATTTTTTTTCTTCTTGCACCCGTACATCTCTATCCTCAAGTTAACATTCATGATAGAATATACCAGTGTTATCTATTTAAAGGTAAATTTTATCTTCAAACTGTAAATATATATTAAAAACAATAACATTGTCTTTGACAAAATATTTAATTTTAATATAAAAGTTCTAATAAGAAAATAAAGCTACTATGATCTATTCTTTTCAGTAGACATTTCTTAATATTATAATGTTAAGTTCAATAAATAATAAAATATTAATAATATTTACCTTTTAATTCATTGGATGTTAGAACACCATTCTATTAATAATAAATTAAGATTTTTCAAATATTTCATCTTATTTAAATTACATATTGTGTAATAAGTGTTTTCATCATTTCAGCTTCAGCTTTTTTTGTCTGTCAGTTTTGACTGGTTTCTTTGCAGCATGTTCTTTATCTCGTTTTGCTGGCTAAAAATACAAATAAATTTTTTGTTAAATGAATATTACATTCAACTAGTTTACCATTCTTTGAATTCTATATGATATTACAATAATAAAATAAACATAGAAAAAAAAAATTCCTTTTTGTGTGTGTGTGCGTGTATATGTTGATTTTGTGATAAGAAAAAAAAATCTACCAAACAGATCAGATTATATACAATAGTAAAGTGTAATGTCAATTGATGATAGTTGAAATAGTTTTGTAGTTGTTAACAATAAATGTATACTCGAATAGAATTGTAAAATTGTTACTTTAACAACGAGAAAAAAGAATTTATTCTACAAATATTATTCAAACATGAAACCAATAGAATTCATATATCCATTAAGAGCATACTTTTTTAATTTTTTTTGATGCATTAACACATGTAATAGTAGTAAATGAAATTCAAATTTGATTACTTTTGATGTTATTTTGAAACAAACGAAAAATTTTCATTTCTTGTCGTATTTTCAAGGATATTTATAAAGAACAGAATGTCTCATATTACAGAGAATACTCATCAGAATAACTTTTTTTTTTTTGATTTGATTGGAATAGAACAAAAAGAAAAAGAAAATGATTGACGGTCGATGCATAAAAACTGAATTAAAAGTTTTTAATCGAGAAGACCAAAAAAAAAACACACAAACCATTCGATTAAATGCAAAAAGCAAATAGTCGGTTTTTTTATATATACATCTTATCGTCAATATAATTCAATTTATTCCAAGGTTGAGAATAAAATAAATCAAGAATATATTTTGGTCGATCAAATAAATTTTATAAACAATAACTCATATTTCTTATAGAATGAACTGAAACAATTTTGATTTTTCTTATTTACATTCATATAGAATAGGTTTTTATTGATCAAAAAATTGACGACATGAGTGATGAAGCAGTAGTGTTCACAACAAAAGAAAAGAACTTATATTGTGCGTTTGCTTATTTTGTCGAAAATATTTCTAAGAAATGTAGACTTAGCCAATGAAGGTAAAGCAAACTTTCAGCAGCTTTTGGTTTATCTAACTCGAGTTTTCAATATCGTTCTACTTTACTTGTTACGCGGAAATACTGCTTTATGTCATTGGCAATGTAGAAACCAACATTTAGTTATACAAAATTGAATTTTTCCTAAGTCTACTTCAGTACGAAAATGTTACGATTTGTCACCGCAGATGATGGAAAATTTTAACGTTTCTAGGGTGTGGGTGGGTGCAGGTGGGGTGTGGGTGTATGTCTTCATTACACCCACATCCACACCTACTCACACCCACACCCTCACACACCCACACCCCACACCCATACCCATAACACAAAGACAATTATTCCATCAAACGAATACGCTAAACATAATAACAATACAAAAAAGAACATTGTTTTTCATTTTCTTTTGTTTCAATTTACCATTAACCATTTTGTTTTTTTATTTATTTCTATTTTTGAGAAATCTTTATCTGAAACAAAAAAAAAACAGAGAAAACTGTTTATTTATTTAAAAAATATTTCTGTAAAGTATCAATAATTAGATCAAATGATGAATAGTTTTAATTATGAATAAATAACTGAGCAATTTTTACAAGAAATTCTTCATTATTTTCAATTTGTTTTAGAACTTGACATTTTTCTTCATAAGAAAGATCTTCATTTAAATAATAATCAAATAATAAAGGATTCATTGATAACAAATCATTAGCACGATTTCTTTCAAATTGACATTAATAAAAATTTTTTATCAATCATTGATTTAGACTAAAGACAAAAACAAGAGAACATTTTTCAAACTTCAGTAAATAAAATAAGAGTAAGAATTTACTGGTGATCGAAAAAGTAAGTCGACTAATGATGATATTGGATTAATTAACCATAATTTATATGCATAAGGCATTCATTCTGTTGATTTATATAAATATTGTATTAATGAATTCATTTCCTAAATTGAATTAGATTGAAATATATAATTCGGCTATTTTTACTGATAACTAATTGTTTCTATGATATATAAGGTTTTTTTTTGCATTGCATTGGTTTTATTCTAGAGTATTATTGTCCACTCCAAAAAAAGAAGATAGGTGGATATCTGTTGAATAACTTCTGAACAGGTTGAGTTCGAGAGTTGTGGTTTTTACCATTGGAAAGAGAAGATGAAAACGCATCGAATCATATTTAAAAAAAAAAAACATTTTGCTCATTATTTTTCTAACAGTTTTACATAGAGCTTCTAGAAGAACAGCATGTCTTTCATGATTGCGATATTATTTTATTGATTTTTAAAAGTGTGCTAGAACCGCCAGATGAAGCATTACAAAATTAAATGAACATTCTATTCTTAAACACCACTAGTAAGATATTTCTAATGGTAAAGACCGTAGCTCTCTAATTCAATCCATTCAGAAGTTATTCAAAAAGTATCCACCCGCCTTCTTTATTGGAATGGGCAATTTCTAAGTTAAAAAAAATCTCATCACAAGCTTTTGTTGTGAAATATCACATAGTAGTTGAAAACAGTATTATTCTGATTGATGCTAAGAGAATTTTTTAACATCCCATCCTTTTGTCAAATATCTACGTTTCAAATTTTATATAAAACACTCTTGATCAAAGCTAATTTATCATGAGAATTTCGTGAAAAATACTTAGTTTTTAGAGATATCTGCCTCTGAACTCTTCTTTGTCGACAAGTCTTCGACTTTTACTAGTTTTTCATTCTGCTCTTTCCTTGTAAAGATCAAGCTCATCTTACGAAAAAATATAAGGATATGGTCAAAATCGCTGAAACATCATCATTTAGTCAAATAGAGAAAATGATTGCATTTAGGATAATAAAAACCTAAACAAATTCATTTCTTATTCTAATTATTTCATCTTCTTAAGAGCACATTATAATGTTGCGATTTTTTCTGATGACTAAGACTTTTGTATTGTTGGTTATCTAATTAAACAAAGAGAAAGAAACACGTAGCTAAAAATATCAAGAGTCAAAGAGATTTCATTTGATATTTACTGATTTGAATACTTTCACAGAATATAGGACTAACCCATATTAAATAGTCATAGATTTTCCAAAAACGTTTTTTTTTTGGAAAACTCAATGGATTCTTCTTCCTAGTAAAATAGTGTTTTACTTAGCAAAAGCATTGCATCTCATTATTTAAATGCAATGCATATCTCTACAAAAAAGAACAAAATTTTTCATTATATCATACTTCTTCATCTAATAGAATGGCATTTTCAGTCAACACTTTTTCCCAGTCTGAATTGTTTTCAATCATTGCTAAAATTAGTTCATTTTTTAAAGTTAATCCATGTGATCTAAAAGTATAGAAAACATTGATTTTATTTGATAAAATAATATTTAAAAAAACAAACGGATTGAACCCTTTCATATTCGTAATTTGTTGTTTTGACCAAGTATTATTAAGAATTTGAATGAGAGATTCAAAATGAATAAGTCGTTGAGCTTGTAAAAGATATTTTTGAAAAAGAATAGAACGATTTTCATCTGTTTCAATATCTTCTTTTTTTAACTAGTTATTAAAATATTATTTAGAAAATAAACCAAAAAAAAAAAAAAAAATTACTTCCGTAAATGAATCAAATGATGAAAGTAATGTTGATAAACGATATTGTTCAAATAATAAAAGATCATCTGATTGTAGACCTTGTTTATCAAACATCTAATTAAGCAATAAAAAAAAAACAACTAAAACAATTACTTAAATCATAATAAATCTTACTCGATCAAGTTTATCAATTAATTTAAATCGAACACGTCGATCAATTAATTCCGAACGACACATTTTTTGTAAACAAGAAAATAATTCTTTTTTATCGATATCATCCATAGATATACTTTCTTATAAATTATTTAATAATAAAAAACTATTTTCATTACCAAACCTTCAATAGCAAAACAAATTTGAAAAAAAAAACAAATCAATTATTATTATTTTATTTTACTTAATATTTTGACTTAGCGTTTCAATAGTTAATGTTAATATTTGATACATTGAAATGTCATGAAAGAAATTTTTTCTTAAATAAATAATCAAATGAAATTGTCCATGTTTACATAATAAATCTGATAGAATTTCTTCTTGTTGTTGAACATCCTCACATTGATCTAATTGATTTAATTCATCTTGTGTATAATCTGGTAAAAGTTTCTGTAAAACTTTAAGACGTAATAAACATTTATTTAATTGTTCTTCGAAAATTTTCCGTTGTTCATCTTCCTTTGAATTAATTTGTTTTATTGAATATTCAATTATTTCTATTCGTTTATTTATTGAAAGAATATTTCTTGATGATATTAAATGATTAATACATAAACAAAAATCTTCAAATAATGTTATACGATTTAATAAATCAAATATTAATGATGATAATGGATTACATCGTAAATAATATGAATATATCCAACTTGAACTAATTATGAATGATGATGATATTTTAATTTGATCAAGTGCTAAACCAAGATTTATTATATTTGAATCATTCGCATGTTTTTCAATAAATAATTCCGGTGATGAAAGAAAATATTTATAATCAAAATCTGAATTAAAAATAATNTTAATCGTAAATAACTATCTTCATTACCAGACCTTCAATAAGAAATAAATGAAAAAAAAAAAAACAAAGCAATTCGGATTATTTCTTTTTTTTTTCTTTTTTTACTTAATATCTTCACTTATTTGTTCAATAGTTAATCGTAATATTTGATAAATTGAGATGTCAGGAAAGATACTAGTTTTTAAATAAATAATCAAATGAAATTGTCCATGTTTACATAATAAATCTGATAGAATTTGTTCTTGTTGTTGAACATATTCACATTGATCTAATTGATTTATTTCATCTTGTGTATAATCTGGTAAAAGTTTATATAAAACTTCAAGACGTAATAAACATTTATTTAATTTTTCTTCTAATATTTTCCATTGTTCGTCTTGTTTCGACATAATTTGTTTTATTGAATATTCAATTATTTTAATTCGTTTATTAATTGAAAGAATATTTCTTGATGATAATAAATTATTAATACATAAATTAAAATCTTCAAATAATATTATTCGATTTAATAAATCAAATATTAATGATGATGATGGATTATATCGTAAATAATATGAATAAATCCAACTTGAACTAACAATTAATGATGATGAAACTTTAACTTCATCAACTGCTAAACCAACATTTATTATATTAGAATCATTTGAATATTTTTCAATAAATAATTCTGGTGATGAAAGAAACAATTTATAATCGAAATCTAAATATTAAAGAAAATATCGAAAAATTATTGAGATTTAACACTTTTTTCATAAGATATTAAAATCAGATCAATATTGTACACTAATCAAAACACTTGATTAATGAGAGAACCTCTTCTCATGTTCACTTCTGATTTCAATCAATTCTTTTATCTAAAGATACTACATATTGTTCTAGTACAAAACTTAAAACAGTTTGAATTTTGACCAAGTTATTGAATTTTTAATATGTCTATTTTCTAAGTTCCAGGCTTTTGAAAAGCTCTTATTTTTGGAAAACTTTGGATCTCTAAAAGAATTCGATAGTTTAGTCAAATCTCATTAGGAACCCAAATTCTTTTAGATTTTTTATTAGAACACTGTATTATCTATATGGAAACTCTCACTAGAAATGAAAAAGTCATCTGCAGAGGTTCTCTCATTAATGAGTTAGTCTGATAAAGATGTTGGATATTCTTTCTCAAAATAATAAAATTTCTACTGACTAATTATATATGAAGAATTTCTAGTTCTCAGAACAAATAATTAAAAAAATTCTTTCAAGAAATGCTTTGAAATGAATTAATTATGCATATATATATAAGCTCCATTACTAGCTAAATATTTACTCAAGTTAAAACTTAATTAATTTTATCATGTTGAAATTTTTATCTTTAAAATTTAGTTCATTTACTATGTCATAAATATGATATTTGTGATTAGCGTGACAAGTTCTGTCGAAAAAGACGAGAAAATCAATCAGTCGATCAAGAACAAAAATTTGAAAATTTCTATTGAATAGAAAATGTTAAAATGATATTAAAGTATCATTGTTGAAATAAAGATAAATTACCGTAATTAAGAGTATTAGTTAATTGTTGAATAGCTTGAATATGTTTTTGTGCATGTGTTAAATCTCCTAAAGATTTTTTAATATCATAAAAAAGTTTTAAACGTTCATAATCTTTTCCATCAATAAATGGAAAAACATTTGTATGTAAACATTTAACTAAATCTAATTTAATTTGTCGATTTTTTTAAATTCTTTCCGAATTTAAAAATAGTTTAATTTTTTTCGTATATCATTTAATGATAAATTTGAATTTGTTAATAAATATTCAAAATATGAATAATGATATTCATCAATAGATATATTATATTTAATAGCTGATTGTTCACCATATTCAAATGATGGATCATCACACATAAATAAACCAAGAATTGTTAAACGACGATATTCACAATCATTTTCAAAACGATTTAAATCAATTGAATTATCTAATTTATTTAATATTGAATATTGACGATTTTTTAATAAACGATTATAATTTTCATTATTTTCAATTAATGTTTTATTAATTATCATTGATGATATTGCATTTAAATTACGTGGTATTGTACTTTTCATTAATGATTGACAATAAATTGGTAATTGTAATGCATATTCATTATCTTTTTCAATTAAAATATCATTCTAAAATTTATTCAAAGAAAAAAACAAAAATTCCATATTTTGTTCATCCATAGGAGAGCTGTAGGTAAATAAAAATTTGAAAATATGATCACCTCATTATCTCATTCGATTTAGATAGCATCTTCGTAAATTCAAATAGAAATTGTTTACTTGCATTTGATAGGATACATTTATCAATATCACTTAAGAGAAGTAATATTCGTATTACACGATAGTAGCAATATCTCGCACGAGAACTTCGAGGAGAGATGAATATTCAAAAATTTTCGTTTTTTTTCCTACTGATGTTTCTGCATTTTATAATTTTTATTGCTCACAAATTCCTGACAAATGTTAAATTCAGCCCCCTTCGGCGAAATCATAATATCTCAGATGTTTCATTTAAGTTAATTATTTTTCATTAAAATGTAGACTTACATTTGTATTTGATGCTAAATAAATCATGATAAATAATGGTGTATCAATATTGACATATTTTATTGCACTTTTCTCATCTAAAACAAAAATTTTATTTAAATTTAAATTTATTTTGCTTCATTATTTTTACATACCAATAGATGGAGATTTCAATAATGGGATTTCTTTTAATTCCATCTAAATAATTTATATATAAAAGTTTAGGAGTTAAATTAAAAAAAAATACAAGAAATAAACCTGTTGAGAATAATCTCAATCATAAAATTAACTTGTATAATATGAATAAGTTGATGTAATTCGATATTCTTCCTAAATATTGAATAATTTTTAATAAAAATAAAATAAAAGTAAAAAAAAACATTTGGTATTGATTGATCTCGAATAGAAATCGTTTTTTTAAGAACATCATCCAATAAAATTTCATCACAATGACGACTAATAAATGATAATATTGATTGATTAATATATGATCAATTTTTATTAATTAATTCCCAACAACATTTCCATGATGGACCATAATCTTCTTCAACTAATGAAGAACATAATTCCCAACACATATTTAAATCATTGATCTTTTAAAATAAAAGATCGAAAAATATTCATTAAAACAAAGAAATTTTCATCTACACGACGTTTTTTTTTCAAAATCTATTCCTACAAACTTCATACATGTCAAGTAAAAAGAAAAATAATATTGATAATAGGGTGATTCCATGGAGTTTATACCACTTTGATGGAAGTGGTCTTGGATTTTCATTTTCGTCTTCTAATTCACCCGAAGACAGTATGAAAAGCATCCAGCAAAAAAAAAATTACGAACTTGTCCAATGAATAGTGAGCACCCGTGGACAACACGAGGTACATGTACAATTTTTTTATAGTGAGATTTTGTTCCATATATGAGCTAATCCATATAAACCACGACCGATCTTACTCCATCGAGGTCGTCAGGTTTTGATCAATTTAGGATATGAAGT